CCCCCCCCATCTCGTGTGTGACTTCATACCTGTTTGGAGCATCTGGTCTTGGACACGCGTTGTCCCTCATCGTAACAAAGACTTCAGTTTTCTCACATGACGATCTGAGGGATTTCAAAAATGGTAATTATCGGCAATAAGTTCTTAAAATTATTTATTTTTAATATTTTAATTATAATTATTTAGTGTGTCTGTGTGTGTGTATGTGTGTGTTTGTGTGTAGGGGAACATGACCCAGCATACATGTGGTGGTCAAAGAACAACTTTTGAGAGCCAGTTCTCTCTCACAATATAGGTCCTGCAGCTTAAACTCAGGGTATCAGTTTTGCTGGCAGATGTCTCAACCCACTGAGCCATCTTGTCCGACCTGTCCTGATGGAGGCAATTTTGGGGGGATGGGTTGTTGATTTTTTGATTGTTTTTTGAAACAAGGTCTCCCTATAGCCCCAGCTGGTCTGGAACTTGTTATGTAGACAATTTTAAAAAATATTTATTATCTTTATTTTATGTGCATGAGTATATTGTCTGCATGTGTATAAGTGCACTGTGCTGTGCAATGCCCACAGAGGTCAGAAGAGGATGTTGGAGCCTCTGGAACTGGAGTTAATGGATTTCTATTAGCCACCATGTGGGTGATGGGACTCAAACCTGGGCCCTCTGCAAAAGCAGTTAGTGCTCTTAACTGCTGAGCCATCTCTCCAGCCCAGACAATTTTTAAGGAATACTGTATGCCTGGTGTTGATTGATCGGACAGCAAAAATTTTCTGCAGTTTCAGGAACCTAGATAAGCCTAGGTTCTCTAAAGAATCAGAACTAGTTTGTGTGTATATATAGGAGGGATTGATTTTAAGGTATTGTGTTCCATGTTTATAGAGTCCTTGGAGTAACTATCTCAGTTGATAGAGGCTTGCAGGCCACAGCAGTGACTGGGCAGCCTGGCAGTGCAGATTCCAAGGCAGTCTAGAGACAGAATTCCTTCCTACACAGAGAGACCAGTCTTTCTTCTGTCTAGACTTTCGACTCTCTGGATGAGGCCTACCTACGTTATGGAGAGCAATTGGGTTCATTCAAAGTTTACCAACTAAGTGTCTTATTCACAATGATGACTAACCAAACACCCAGACACCATGACCAATGAAGTTGACATATGAAATTAATCATTACAGCCTGTATCATTCTAAATGACAGAAGCTGGAGTCCTAGAACACAGGACTGAGAAAAATGGCAAAGCATGTACATGTGTGTAACTGAACTTTGTAACATTCCCTTTATGAGTTGTTATAGAATAAGCTGTGTTTCCCTAAATTAATATGTTGAAGCCCTAGTCTCTAGTGGAATGGCATTTGGAGACAGGACCTGTGAGAAGTGTAAAAGTTAAGGAGGGAGCTGGAGAGATGGCTCAGTAGTTAGGAGTAGTGAGCACACTTTTACCGAAGACCTGAGTTCTATTCCCAGTACCTTAGATTGGGCAGCTCACAACCAGATGATCAGATGTTTTCTTCTGGCCTTCATGGGCACCTTGACTCACAAGCATATACCCACATACTCACACCTACACATATACATGATTAAAAATAAAATAAATCTTAAGAAAATTGAAAAGTTAAGAACATAAAGATATGAGATCCTAATCTGATAGAAAGGGTGTCCTCATGAAAAGAGAAAGGGAAATAGCCTCTCTTCTCTTGTCTTCTCTTCTCTTCTATTCTCTTCCTCTCTCTCTCTCTCTCTCTCTCTCTCTCTCTCTCTCTCCTTCCTCCCCAGAAGAAAGAAGAAATGCCATTGGGAAAGCACTCAACTGGAAGCCCAAGATAGCCCTTACCAGTCAATAAATGTGCCAGTTTCTTCACTTTGCCCTTTCAGTTTCCAAAACTATAAGCCACTAGCTTCCTGTTACCTATACCACCCAGTCTGTGGTGTTCTTTATGGCAGACTGAGCAAATTAATACATAGATACATAATTATGTATATGTTCAGACATTGCCTATCCATTAAACCGAGTACTCTTATTTAACCACGGGTTGTGAGAGCAAGACCCTGCTTGTTCCATGTTCTAAGGAAAAGCTGAAGGCCCATACTGGTCAGGTGTTTAAGAAAACTCACTTTTCCTCATTGAAAAGATCCTGCCTGTTCCTAACCAAATATGAACTAATACATAAGTGGCAATAATTCTTTAAGACAGATCAGTTTGAGGCTTGAGTTCCACGGTTTTTGTGTAAAATAACACTTCTGACCATGGGAAGCTGCCTTGATCACAAAGGAAGAAAAGCAGTCGTTTCTACTTGCAGAAAATGAGGGCATGCCCGCTCCCTGCGGCTGGATTTGTCAGACCTCTTGTTTTTCCCTGGTGTGTTTAGTGACATACGGCCCTGCAGTGTGGATTTGCAATGGTACAGTTATTGATTCCTCAAAATCAGGCAGCATGCCACATGAACAGCTGGTGTTCATTGATCCTCTACTCTTACAGCACTTTCCTGCACAATCTCTCATGGTTTTTTTTTTTTTCCTCCATTAAATGAGGGCTGATGGCATGTGAAGAGCTTGCCATTAACAAATGCTTTCTAAGCTCTTAGGAAAGATGCCAGGGGAGGCCCAGGTAAGACGTCAATACCCAGTGTAGGGCCCAGAAGAGGGTGAATGATCACTTTAACACATTCAAGCCCCATCTTGTTTCCCCATCTGCTTTCTCTTCCTGGTGGGAGCGTATCCACATTGTTATCACTCAAGAAACACAGCTCACCAGAGGGGTTTGAAGACCAACTCTTCCTAACTCAGAAGATGGGAGGGGGGCACACTGACGTTTTTGAAGAGTTGATTGCCTTTTGAATCTTGTTCAGCTGAGCTAATGGCTGAGCTAAGGGTGTGCTGTGAGCAGAGGAAGGGGGTGGAGGAGCTGGGCTTGCTGTTGGCTGGCTTTGCCTCTTTTTCTCAGAGAATTCCTAGAGGCAAAATGTTTGAGCATCACATCTAAATGGGTTTTTAGGGCTCTTTCACATGTCTTTCTCATCCTAACATCAAGGATAGCTATCCCCAAAGAAAGAAAAGGTACTAGGGCCATATTGGGACCTTTGAACAGATGGATGAAAAAGACAACATGAAATAAGGGCAAAGTAGGCCCCAAACATCGTCTTAGGTTTGTTCATTCCTGCACAACACATACACTTAGGAAGAATGCTAGAATCGTGTGAGAAGAAAGTCAGGAAAGGAGGATCTAAAAGTCATGGACTGTTTTCTGCCAGGGACACAGCTTCTGGGCTGCTCTTCATGTGACTAGTCAGAAATTGATGTGTCAAATGTTTTGTATACAATGAGTAAGAATTTCTTCTTCATTGTGACTAGAAATGGAGCTCAGTCAGTGGAGTCCTTGCCTAGTATCCCAGCACCATCATAAAATCCAGTGTGTTGAAACACATCTGCAGTCCTAGAATCAGGAGGTAGAGGCCAGTTAGAGAATCAGAAGTTCAAGGTCATACTCTGCTACACAGTGAGTTAGAGACCAGTCTGTGACACAGGAGGCCCTGTCAAAACAAAGCAGCAAAGCACACAGACTCTTCCTTCCCTAGTAGATTTCAAGTGCCACTAGCTGGTCAGCTGAAGTGGTACTTTGTGAGCCCCTCCACTTTCCATGTTGGAAATTGGACTGGCTTGATCTTGGGTAGGTCTTTGCACACAGTCACAGCAGTTGTGAGCTCATCTGTGCACTGGCCCTGTCCTGTCTGGAAAACACTGTTTCCCAGCAGTCCCTCATAGCCTCTGGCTCTTGCTTTCTTTTTGTCTTCTTTTCCATGATGGTTCCCTGAGCCTGGAAGGGAGGGGGTGTTATACAGGGCCCCATTTAGTGATGAGCACTCCACACTCTCTTATTCTTCACAATCTGACCATTGTCGGTCTGTCTAAGGGGTTAGAAGGAAAGGAATGGGAGTGTATTTGAGCTAAACTTTATATATATATATATGAAATTCTCAAACAATAATTTTTTTATCTTGGAAAAGTACAACTTCACTTCAAATGTCTCATGGTTATTTTTTTAAGAGAAAGAAAAGAAAAGAAGGAGAAAAAAATCAGAAAGAAAAACCAGAATTTCTTCTTTATATCTGTGGCACTTTAAACAATGCATAAGCCCAGTGCTATGTGACTTAACACAGCTGTTTAACATGTCACTGAATTCAAGACAGCTTTCCCCCTAGGCATTCTCTTGTAGCAAACAGAGATGTGTTGCCTTCACCTATGATTGTGTCACAAATGTTAATGTTAGGAGAGTCCTCATACTAAGTTTTAGATCTCCCTTTTCCCTCAGAATTTTCTCTAACACCACCATCCTTTCTAACTGATAACTCCTTTCCCCAGACATCTCCATCTCCTGCTCCTGTCTACTGGGCTACAAGGGCATACCTATCCTGTGATGGAGAATGAAATATATAGCCCAGCTCCTCTCTTGCCTCCTGTCGCTGTCCCCCCGCACCATTCTTCTGTCTTGCAATTTGTTGGAGAACAATGTCTTCCAAGCAAAACAGCAGCCACTTGTATCAGATCAGCTGTACCTGCTTGCAAGAAACCATTACCATTGGGTCTACCAAATGCTGATGTTCATTCACTCAGAGAAGGAGGGCGTAGGGTGGGTCATGGGACCCTCACTCAAGAATCCCTCCTCCGAGTCATTTTAAGCAATTATGTCCCAGTTGCACATGGACTCAGGGTATAGGCAGAAGCTACAGTATATAGACTGAGGAAGGTTAACTGAAGAAGGCTGGAGAACTCCATCTACACAGCGACGGAGAGGCCATCGTTCATGCTGGACTGTCCAGCACAGCTGCTTTGGGGTCCCCCACAGTCCTGTAAATAGTTTCTCTCTCATGCTTTATAAGCAAGCCCACCAGACTCATTCATTCCCTGGGTTGAACTCTGGTGGAACTACTTTGGTTTGTAGTTGGGGCCTATTAAGGAGGGATTCAGAGTCAATGGGTGCTGCTTACATCACTCCAGGGAAGGAATTCTCACACCAGAACCCCAGGGTGGAACTGGTTTATGATACAGGAAGGAAGCTATTTCAAGATGCATGTCCTGAAAACAAGCCTTTCACCCAGACCTTGGGACACTTTTCCATTTACCTTGCGTGTTTTGTGTGGATTTCTCATTCTGGATGACTTCTTAATGTCCACTTCTGTAGTATTTACACATCCAGGCTGGAAGTGAAAAAAATGACAGAAGGAGTTTAAGGCTGGAATATTCCAACAGCATAATCATTAATGAATTGCTCTTCAGAGCGCGAGTAACGCCGCGATGACTAGGTCCCCTGCAGCACTTTCTAGAAGGCTGGGGCCATGTTCAACAGTAGCAGCCAGTAAGAAAATACACTGCCTGCCATCTTCTTGGTGCACAAAAGCCTCTAGAGCCATTCTCAAACAAATTCCAGACACATTAGGCAAAAAGAACTTGGGTTTGGCTTGGGAAACAGGATGTTTTCATTCACAGCAGCAAACTGAGCAGTCAGAGTAAAACTGTCCGGGGAAGAATGTGGAGATCCTGTCCTGATGTCTGCACATGGCATCCCATAGGGCACACCTGTCCTCTTGATAGAATGTGATGCTGCTTTTAAATGACTGCTGTTTCCCCGGGTAGCAAATCTAAAATGGCATTCAGTTGAGACAGGAAATCCCAGAGTAAATTGTTTTTATAGTGATTAGGAAATCTGGTGCCTGGGAGCATTTGTTTTCCACAAACAGAAAATATGCCATGGAGTAAATGCAGAAAGAAAGAAAAAACCTGGTAGTTGATATTCTATACTCTTTCCTGTAACGTTCCTGACTTTCTTCACACTTTTCCTCAGGCACCTGAATTTGGAAGAGTGTGGGCTGCTGGCTGCTAGCTTCCACATAGTTCTGAAGTCTCATTTTGCCAGAATTATTGTTTGGTTGCCCAGAAGCAAATAGATGTGGACTTCCTTTGTATTTTCAGATGAGAGGGGAGGTGGGAGGGAAGAACAGAGGAGAGAAGAAAGAGGAGACAGGGGAGAGAGAGAGTCAAGAAGGCTCTCGAAAAACCAACCTAAGCAATAGCAGGCATAGGGGCTGGGGAACACAAATAAGCCAAAGGAATACAGAAATGCACAGAATCTTAGATCTGGCAAAGGTCAGAAGTTATGGAGTGTATTTCCACGCCTTCAAGTTCTGTGTACAGGGTAGAGGGAAAACCACCAGGTTGTATATCTATGACCAAATATTCAGTTCTTTCTCCTCACAGATTGTTTGAGATTCCCACGAAGGTGGATCCAGGGACACTGAGTATAAAGTTAGGACAAAGTGAGAAAAGACTGAGCCTCTCCACCACCATTGGGGGGCAGCAAGGACTCACCTACTAAAGGGCCGTAGGTCATTTTCTGTAGAGTCCCCTCCCAATAATCAGGCACTGTGACAAAGTTCACCACAACGCAAAATGCATAAAGAGATGAAAAAGCAAAGCATTTCTTTTTTCCCATAAAAAGTACATTAAACTAAATATGCAAACATATCCACATACAATACCAGATGCATTGAATAAACTATACATTTTGTTTGCCTATCTACTTTAGAGTAAAAAAGCCATTTTAGGTGCCGGTGAGATGGCCCGATAGGTAAAAGCTCATGCCACCAAGCCTGATGATATGATTTCCATCCCCAGACCCCACATTGAGGAAAAAAAGAATTGACTCACACAAGTTGTTCTCTGATCTCCACATGTGTGCTTTGGCATGCACTTCTACACATGTGGATGCATGCACACACATACAGAGTAAATAAATAAAAACATAAATAAATATTAAAAATGAACAAGTTTCTCATCTCTATCACCTTTCCAGTGCAGGAAGAACAAGTACCAGCTGAGTGAGATTAATTAACAGAATGAAAATACACTTAAGCTGTCCCCACCACCAGGATGATCAGTATCCAAGATTCTAATCTAATCTTTCTATGGTTTGTGTAAGCATTAACCCCTTTTATTTTAAAGGCTTTGAGCCAATAACTACATGGATGAATCCACTTATAACGTCAAAGCCCTTATGATCTAGTCAGATCCCAAAGACCCCACATTTGACCACTGCTTCATTAAGGACCAAGCTTTCAACATACAAGACTTGGCAGGGGGTAAGGGGGGTGACATTTAAGATCCAAACCGTAATATGCATGTAAGAGGTCTTCATAGCGAATGAGATGAATTTATGGGACAAATTACTGTAGGCTAAATACTCTGAAAGCCAAATAAACATTTACTCCTCGCTAGTTAAAAATCAAAGGTGTTTGTAAAATGACGACAATCAGTGCAGCATTCCAGCTGCGGCAGTGCTGGGATCCAGTGGAGGGAGGGGTACATCCACCATCCATGTCACAGTGCTCCTGCTACATATTCTTACCATGTATTTTCTTTAAAATTATAATAAAAATAATAAAAATTTTGTAAACATTCTTTTTTTAAATGTGTATGAATGTATTGCCTGCATGTATGTGAGTACACCGTGTTGTGCAATGCCGTGGAGGTAAGAGGAGAGCTTCGGATTCCCCTGGAACTGGAGTTAAGGACGGTTCATAGCTGCCATGTGGGTGCTGGGAATTGAACCTGGGTCCTATGCAGGAGCAGTCAGTGCTCTTAACTGCTGAGCCATCTCTCCAGCCCCAAAGCAGACCATTTTCTAAAATAAAAGGCCCATTGAGTTTAATGTGCAGAGTTCACAGTCGTTTATCTAGATGTAACCAAGATGTCTCAGAAATATTAAAGCATTATGTTTTCACTTCTCATTCAATTTCTATTACCCTGTAGCCATCTTTTCCCTAAGCTGAGCTACTAGAGAAGATGTGGTACCAAAATTCTTTAACTGTCTATTGGTATATCAATATTGATACATCAAGAGCCAACATAGCCTCAGAGGTTACAGAGATTTTTCTCTTTATGCTATGGGCTGAGGATAACAATATAAGCTGTCCAGTAAAAGAAAGGCATGACTTTTTCTTCCCAGGGGACAAACCCTAAGAGTCCGAAATATAGACTAGCCAGAAAGGTATGGGGTTCATGTGAGAAAGCTTCTTCTGTACCCCTAGCAGAAACCTTACAAGGGATCATTGACAACATGAATATTTAACATTACATGGGCTTTATTAAGGAGATAGTATTCTGGGCTGGAAAGATAGCTCCATGGTTAAGAGTGTGCTCTGCTTTTGGAGAAAATTCAAGTTCTGTTCTCAGCACCCATATTTGTCAGGGAGCTCACAATCACCTGTAATTCCAGTCCCAGGGGACCCAATGCCTCTGACCTCCACAGGCACCTGTACCCATAAACACACACACACACACACACACACACACACAGAGAGAGACAGAGACAGAGAGACAGAGAGAGACAGAGAGAGACAGAGAGACAGAGACAGACAGAGAGAGAAAGAGAGAGAATTAAAAATTAAATAAATAAAAGAAAAAAGGAATCTAAGGCCATGTTTCTTGAGGCTTATATGCAGCAGGCAAGGCATGCAGCTTTTTGTTTTTGCAGATCTCCACATTAAAAGGTACAGAGGTGCTAAGGTTAGTAGGTGAACAGGAACTTGAGTTTGAAACAAAGGCCATAACATGCATGGATTGCATACATGGAACTAATGTCTGGAGGACAAACTCCATTAGAGAGGACCGGGTGGTGATGAGCACAGATGGATGGTCACACTGTGAAATCTGTCCAAAGCAGGAACAACAAGTTCCCAGAAGGTGCTCTGTGTTACCTGGCCCCATTCCCCAGTGCATTAGATCATAGAGATAAAACCTCTGTACCCCAAACTCCTCTCCAAAAAAAAAAAAAAAAAACAGTCTTGAATGACAGCAGAAAACTCTAGATGTGATCATCTACCGAAAAAAAAAAGGCTGCTAGCCAAACCTGCAGTTTAAATCATGGCAGCACAGAGGCCATGCACATTTAAACTCTTCTTCAAATAGGCTTCTGAAGAAAATAGAGCAATTATAGAAAATAGAGATGCTATTCTCTATCCACATGTGAAGAGCCTGAAATTAATTGAACTCTACAATGCCTCCCATAGAAAGCCAGGAATCTAAGTCAATTTGACTTCATAGCAAGTAGGATAATTAACAAATGGCCTCAGAAATTGTGTCAGCCATCAAAGACATGAAGTGGAAATCGCTTTTCTCCCATAGGCACATATTTGACTGCCAGTCCAAAAGAGAATTAAAATTTTCATCTTCAAGTTTCAAAGATTATGACCTCTTAAATTTGATTAATGAACCATTAACAGACATCTAAAATTTCTACTTGAGTCAATTTCTAACACCACTAACCAACACATCCATAAAGCAGTGTTGACTGTAAAAGCAAACATTATTAGAGACTAAATTTCCAAGTGTTTTATGACCTAGGCATTCCAAGGGAATGAAATTTGTCTGCACAGAATTTATCATGAATGGCTAAATGGTTAAAAAATAAACAGACAAACAAACTTGGGATGTGGGTCTCAGTGGTTCCTGCAATTTCTACCTGCCCCCCGCCCTACACATTCAAGTTGATAAAGGTGAAAGTATTTCTTACAAGGTTGTCTAGGACTCTTTGGAATAGTTAAAACCAGGACCTAGTGTTGATCACCCTGAGTAATTGCTTTCAAAAGTCAGGCACTATGGTGAATAATATATGACAATCGGCTTTTTTTTTTAACATTCTTTTATTTAGTCGGTAATATTTCCTGCATTCAATAAGCACAAGGTATGATAATGAACTGTGAGACACAGACATGAAAGTATGATCAGCTCCCCAGTAACCTCCTCATAGAGTCGGAGTGACAGAATCATCACAATTTAGAAGCATAATGTCTATGTAGAAGTTGACATGGGGTATTTTACAGCAGACTAGTTCAGGCACCCATTCTTATGAGCTTTGAGTAAGTTCTCAATAGGGTGTGTGAGCACACACACACAAACACACACATGCACACATGAGGGGTGGAGAGAGAAGAAGGGGGGAGGAAGAGAGAGAGAATTTATTCTGTAAGTAGATGTAGGTGTGTGGTTAGTTCTCACTTTATAGCCCTCACAACAGCAAGGAAGTAGTTCCTTCCCCACTAGCCCTGTGATTTCTCAATTCATACAAAATGACTGCTGAGCTTATAGCCAACTCGTTCTTCAATTTCTGCTGATTGCCATTACATTAACTGTGTTTCAGTCA